ATCATTACATCATCACCAACAATCAGTGCGCAGATGCGCAATCAAAAGCAGAGTGTTCGTCCGATTGCTCCTTTGGCTGAAGAACAATTTGCACGGCTCTAACAACATGAATTTATCGAGATGAATATGAGCATACAACACATTTACAGTGTTAGATTTGAATAGGAGCTGGTATTACTTATTCAATGGTACAGCGTTCCAAACCCTATAAAGTTCCTGGAAATAGACGTCTTTCTCCGACTTCGTTTCAACCCTGAGATTCCTCAGCTTTGTCGCATTCATTTGTTTTGACCATCGGATAATGAGCCAGATTAGGATGGGAGAAACAACGGTGTAGTAGGGTATAACCTGGAATCACCATTATTCGACAACGGTAACGTGTAATGGTCCTCGGCATGAGAAGATCTAACATCAAGTTGCCAGTTCCGACCATGTTGGCTTAGAACACCATCAGCCGAGAATCGTATGACTAGTACGAAATTCCCAAGAATGTTCTTTGATAAGCCTCCGCAAGACACCGCATAGTACCATGACAGCTACATGAAGAAAGTGTTTCAAGGGGGGGGGCGGTCTTGAAGAGGGCTAGACTGATGCCACCGAGCTTGTATAATACTGGAATAGGGCTTCAGTTAGAACAACGATTTTCACGTCTAGGCTTTGAGGTTATCTGCTGCTGAAATGTGGGCTACGTTTTTCCTATACCAGGTCCTTCGAAATGATTAAAAAATGAACATAATTTTTTGAATGATATCACAGCCTGAGATACAATCACAGCACTGAATATTCACTCACGTAAACTGACGTAGCATAAGTTCGAAACTTGGCGACCGACATGTGAGCGCGGAAGTGCATAGATAACAGGGTATCCAAAACAAAATATCATATAGCAAATTGTTTGGAAGACGGCCAACGGCAACATCACTCGAATAACGTTGGCATTCTCACGCAGTTGATACGACTGTTGATTAAAGGACTTTTTGAATCCTGAAAAGTTGAATAAAGCAAGAACACTAGTTAGATTACAGAAATGTTGCTGCTAGCGGAAGAGCTGAGACTCATGCAGTAGAGGCCTCAAAAGCACTGTTAGAGCCTTCTTAAGAAATTCACAGTTTACAACATCGACTGAAGAAAAAATCTACTGATGCGATCAATGCATAGTAAATAAAATCGCTGCGGAATAATTCAACAAAAAGAGTCCTGATTACCAACTTGAGCGGAAAGGGAGCTTGACAGGTATCCTGCCATTGGAGAGTGAAGCTGTGTGCAATCTAACCAA